ACAGATACAAAAAAAATATTAGTAACTACCTGTGTCTTGTCAGATCACCATGGACTAAAATTAGAATTCAACAACAATGATCCCCCCAGGAAGCCAACAAACTCATGGAAACTGAACAGTCAACTACTAAATCACCCCTGGGTCAAGGAAGAAATAAAGAAAGAAATTAATCTCTTCCTTGAATTTAATGAAAACAAAGACACAACATACTCAAACCTATGGGACACTATGAAAGCAGTGCTAAGAGGAAAGTTCATAGCACTAAGTGCCCAATTAAAGAAAGCGGAGAAAGCACACATTGGAGACTTAACAGCACACTTGAAAGATCTAGAAAAAAAAGAAGCTGATTCACCCAGGAGGTCTAGAAGACTGGAAATAATCAAACTGAGGGCTGAAATCAACAAAATAGAAACAGAGAAAACAATCCAAAGAATCAATGAATCAAAAAGCTGGTTCTTGGAGAAAATCAACAAGATTGACAAACCCCTATCCAAGTTAATCAAACGGCAGAGAGAAAACATGCAAATTAATAAGATCAGAAATGAAAAGGGGGACATAACCACAGACACAGAGGAAATTCAGAGAATCATTAGATCTTACTATGAAAGTTTATATGCCACAAAGTTGGAAAATGTAAAAGAAATGGACATTTTTTAAGATAAATACCATATACCAAAGTTGAACCAAAAACAGGTGAACAATCTAAATAGACCTGTTAGTCGCGAAGAGTTAGAAGCTGTTATCAAAAATCTCCCTACCAAAAAAAGCCCAGGACCAGATGGTTTCAATGCAGAATTCTACCAGAACTTCCAGGAAGAGCTAATACCTATACTCCTTAACGTATTCCACAATATAGAAACAGAAGAGTCACTGCCTAACTCCTTTTATGAAGCTACAGTTACCCTAATACCAAAACCACACAAAGACCCAACCAAGAAAGAGAATTACAGGCCAATCTCACTCATGAACATCGACGCGAAAATTCTCAATAAAATACTGGCAAACCGAATCCAAGAGCACATTAGAAAAATTATCCATTATGATCAAGTCGGCTTCATTCCAGAGATGCAGGGCTGGTTCAACATACGCAAATCTATCAATGTAATCCATCATATAAATAAACTGAAAGAAAAAAACCATATGATCATCTCACTAGATGCTGAAAAAGCATTTGACAAAATTCAACACCCATTTATGATAAAGGTGTTGGAGAGACTGGGGATACAAGGATCATACCTAAATATAATAAAAGCAATATACAGCAAGCCGACAGCTAACATCAAACTGAATGGAGAGAAACTCAAAGCCTTTCCACTAAAATCAGGAACGCGACAAGGCTGTCCACTCTCTCCATACCTCTTCAATATAGTGCTTGAAGTTCTAGCAATAGCAATAAGACAACATAAGGAGATCACGGGGATTCGAATTGGAAAGGATGAAGTTAAACTTTCGTTATTTGCTGACGATATGATAGTGTACATAAGCGACCCCAAAAACTCTACCAAAGAACTCCTACAGCTGATAAACACCTTTAGTAACGTGGCAGGATACAAGATCAACTCCAAAAAATCAGTGGCCCTCCTATACACAAAGGATAAAGAAGCAGAGAGGGAAATCAGAGAAGCATCACCTTTCATGATAGCCACAAATAGCATAAAATATCTTGGGGTTACTCTAACCAAGGAAGTGAAAGACCTATTTGACAAAAACTTTAAGTCTTTGAAGAAAGAAATTGAGGAGGATACCAGAAAATGGAAAGACCTCCCCTGCTCTTGGATTGGGAGAATCAACATAGTAAAAATGGCAATTCTACCAAAAGCAATCTATAGATTCAATGCAATCCCCATCAAAATCCCATCAAACTTCTTCACAGACCTTGAGAGAACAATAATCAAGTTTATATGGCAAAACAAAAAACCCAGGATAGCCAAAACAATCTTATACAATAAAAGAACTTCTGGAGGCATTACCATCCCTGACTTCAAACTCTATTATAGAGCTACAGTATTGAAAACAGCTTGGTATTGGCATAACAACAGAGAAGTCGACCTATGGAATCGAATAGAAGACCCAGATATTAACCCACAAACTTATGAACACCTAATTTTCGACAAGGGAGCTAAAGGTATACAATGGAAGAAGGAAAGCATCTTTAACAAATGGTGCTGGCATAACTGGATGTCAACCTGTAAAAAAATGAAAGTAGATCCATATCTATCACCATGCACAAAAATCAAGTCCAAATGGATTAAAGACATCAACATTAATCCGTCCACTTTGAACCTGATAGAAGAGAAAGTGGGAAGTAGTCTACAAGATTTAGGCACAGGAGGCCTCTTCCTAAGTAGGACCCCAGCAGCACAGACAATAAGAGAAACAATGAATAAATGGGATCTACTGAAACTGGGAAGCTTCTGTAAAGCAAAGGACACTGTCAGTAGGACAAAAAGGCTGCCTTCTGACTGGGAGAAGATCTTCACCAATCCCTCATCAGACAAAGGTCTGATCTCCAAAATATACAAAGAACTCAAGAAACTAGGCACTAAAACTCTAATTAACCCAATTAAAAAATGGGGTACTGAACTTAACAGAGAATTCACAACAGATGAACTTCGAATGGCCAGAAGACACTTAAGGTCATGCTCAACCTCCTTAGCGATCAGGGAAATGCAAATCAAAACCACTTTGAGATACCATCTTACACCTGTCAGAATAGCTAAAGTCAAAAACACCAACGATAGCCTATGCTGGAGAGGATGTGGGGTGAGGGGAACACTCATCCATTGTTGGTGGGAATGCAAACTCGTGCAGCCACTGTGGAAATCAGTGTGGCGGTTTCTCAGGAAACTGGGAGTCAACCTCCCTCAGGACCCAGCAATACCACTCTTGGGAATATACCCTAAAGATTCCCTAACATACTATAAAAGCATTTGTTCAACTATGTTCATAGCTGCACTATTTGTAATAGCCAGAACATGGAAACAACCTAGGTGCCCCTCAATAGAAGAATGGTTAAAAAAGGTGTGGAACATATATACATTAGAGTTTTACTCGGCGGTAAAAAACAATGACATCTTGAATTTTGCATGCAAATGGATGGAAATAGAAAACGCTTTACTGAGTGAGGTAAGCCAGACCCAAAAAGAGGAACACGGTATGTATTCACTCATAAGTGGATTCTAACCATAATTAAAGGTCTTTGAGCCTATTATTCGTGATCCTAGAGAAGCTAAACAAGAAGATGAACCTGATGAAGATTATTTAGCTATCCACCAGGAGGTAGGAAATAGACAAGAGTCCCAGGTAACCTCGGGTACATGGGGGGGTGGGAGGGTCGATGGAGGGGGAGAGGGCTAGAGAGAAGGGAGTAGGGGAGGAACGGGGAAAGCTTGGTGGCCGGGGATGGGGGGGGGAGGGAGGTAGGATGAATATGGGATCAGGGAACAATATATTTCAACTAAGGGAGCCATTTTAGGGTTTACAGGAGACTTGATTATATATGGGATCCCAGGTCCAAGGAGAAATCCCCCAGATTGCTCTCTAGACAGAGGAGAGGGTGCCTGAATCGGCCGTGGCCCAGGACCATACTGATGTATATTTTGCTTATCACCATAGATCCTTCATCTGGCGAAGGACGACTATGCAGTCGGAGGCCCACATTGGAGCACCGGATTGAGCCCCCCGAGGTCCGGAGGGGGAGCGGAAGGAGGAGGAACATGAAAGACGAAATCAGTACTGCGAGGGATGCTATCACCCACTGATACAAGGGAACGGATCTGATGAGAGTTTACCAGGGCCAGTCGTACTGGGACTGAACGAGGACGTGATCTAGCCAGATTCTCGGAATTTGGCCGGATTCTCTGACTGTGGCTGGCCCGGGGTCTTTCTGAAAAGCCATTGACTATGACACTGGGACCTGTTTCCTCTGCATATGCTGGATTTTGGGGATCCAGTCTGTTTGGACGCTCGCCTTCCTGGACCTGGAGGGAGGGGGAGGGAGCTGGAGCTTCCCACAGGGCAGGAAACCCTGACTGCCCTGGGGGACGGAGGGGAAGGAGGGGGGAGTGGGGAGAGTGGGAGGGTGTTGGGAGGGGGGGCGGAAATGGAAACTTTTATAATTTAACAAAATTTACTAAAAAAAAAAAAAAGAACTAACCACGCCCACCCAGTCACTTCTGACCTCCCCCTTCGCCATCTTTCTCTCTCTCTTGTGTGGTTGTCTCCTGTCGTGTGCACACGTTTCTCTCTGTCTCTGTGTCTTTATATCTTTATATTTGTCTATCTTTGTCTCTCTGTTTTTCTATTTCTTTTTAAGTAATAAATGTTTACCCTTATGTTTATTTACTATGTCTTGTGAGCCTTTTATCTGCCGTAACCGCCTGCCTGACTCCCCCGGCCGCATGGCGTTGCAGGAACTCACGGCCATCCTTGCCAGACTCCGCGAGCCGCCTGGGACATCCCATCATCATATTCTTTTTAAAAGAACAAAAGGTATCCCATGGCTCTGGCATCTCCAACATCTTGGGTCCTCCAAGGCAATCCAGGCTTCGATTTCACAGCCTCACATAACCAGGGACACCCCTGACACATGCTTGGCCTCAGCAGCTTTCCTTAGTTGTGGAGTCAAATTCCATAGCCCCTTTCTTCTATCCTTACCCCCAAAGCCAGAGCCACGTGGCTGAAGAGGTCAAGTTCTGCTGCTTCCAGGGGCTGAAATGTGGTCCCCTTGTCCAATTACTTCTTCACCAGTTTTCTGTTTCTTTTTGATAGTTGCCTCCATTGCCTGAGGTTGGCCATCCTGCTCTGTAGACTAGGCTGCCCTCAGACTCAGAGATTGACAGTCTCTGCCCCAGCGTGCACATCCACACCTGGTTCTGAGCTTTTCTTTAATTACTTTTCTCAAGCTGGGTAGGATCTTGTCCTGAGATCATCACTCTCTTTATTCCATTTCTTAATCTGTTTATCTCCTTGAACATAGGATTTAGCTCTGTTCCACTTCCTGGTGCCCTTTTCTCAGTCTATGCATTTTGTATTTTTATTTGCTCCGCTTGCTTCTTTTCATTATAAATCTTCATCAGAGTTAACACTAATGACCACACGATAGAGGCTGTACTAGGTTGTTCTGAGTTTTCCTCTACCAAAGGAATTAATCCAAATCTCTTTACTTTAGCCTCAGTCAGACTCTTCAGACAAGGGCAAATTATCACAAGAACAATCTCTAAGCCACATATTAACATTCTCCTCTAAATCTCTTGAGCCAGCGCCCCACAGTTCAAATAACACTCAGCACCACTATTTTCCATGCTTCTACTAAGATGGCCCATTAATCAGCACTTAAAGCATTCAACTATTTTTCTAATCCACAACTCCAAGGTGCATATTCTTTCAAACAAAAGCATGATTAGGCCTATTGCAGCAATATCCCAGTCCCTGGTAACAAACTCAGTCTTAGGGTGTCTATTGCTGTGAAGAGACACCATGACCACAGCAACTCTTATAAAGGAAAAACTTTAATTGGGGTGACTTACATGTTCAGAGGCTTAGCCTGTTATTGTCGTGGTGCAACATGGTGGTGTGCAGGCAGACGTGGTGCCGGAGAAGTAGCCGAGTGTCCTACATCCTGACCTGCAGGCAACAGGAAGTGGTCTTGTGCAAGACTGTCTTATTTGGTCATTACACCAACTCTGCAAGGTGAGTAATTTTCGTACAGAAAATGAAATGGAGACATAGACCAAAAATACATGGATGGATGGCGAGTCGGGGCTATGGTTCAGATCCGGTGTGCCTGGAAAGTCTGTGCTTTGTATCTCCACAGCAGAGGAAACAGCACTTTGGGGACATGGAAGTTTCAGGGCCAAGCCCAGGAAAGATCCCTGACAAAGCAGAACGGCTGTTCAACCTAATTTCTTCATGTTTTCTCACTCCCAGAGATGGAGAGTTTTGCTGCCTAGAAAGGTAGGATTATAGCTCAGGGTTTTTATCTTTACTACAAGTTTAAAAAATACTTCTAGGAATTCAACTATGGAAAAGGGCATCTCTAACGGCAAATCCTGGGCAGAATCACCTGTCAGAACTGCAGATGTGAAGTTTTTCTTGGTTTTGTCAGTGAAGAATGTTTCTGTTTCACCCTTTATCTCAGTTATTCTGTGATTCTCAGGAGGTGTATTTGCTTTGTCTCCACAACAAGCCCCCAAACTCTTCACACAGCAGTGAGAGCTCACCCTCGGGGCCACTTTGAGGTAGCATCTCAAGAACCTCCCACATGGCTCATTGTTTCATCCCTGGCATCCTTGCCTTCTGCTGTGCACAGCTGTGCACACGTATTTTGGAATCTCTGCCTTCAGAACATGTTTTGAGTTTTCAATCTGAGGTTCTTCTATAAAAGATTCAAACACCAATTCATTTCATACGTGTGTATATGTCATTCATTTAAAAATCACCTGAAAAGAGGAAAAGAAAAACAGACCTTAGTTTGCCCTTTGAAATGGAGCATTACTAAAGTCATTTCATTGTGGTCTTTTCTATTACTCTGATGTGGGGTGCCCTTCTGTATATGTGTTGCTTTTATTGGTTGATGAATAAAGCTGTTTTGGCCAATGGCTTAGCAGAGTAAATTCAGGTAGGAATTCCAAATATATTTAGAGAGAGAGAGAGAGAGAGAGAGAGAGAGAGAGAGAGAGAGAGAGAAAGAGAAAGAGGAAGAGAGACTAGGTGGAGTCAAAGAGATGCTATGTAACTGCTGAAGGAGAAAAATGCCAGAACATTACTTACTAAGCCACAACCTTGTGGCTAAAATAGATTAATAGAAATATGTTAATTTAAGATGTCAGAGCTAGCTAGGAATGCGCCTGAGCCATTGGCCAAACAGTGTTGTAATTAATACAGTTTCTGTGTGATTATTCAGGTCTGGGTAGTCGGGAAATGAAAACACAGTCTTTGTATACATTACTCAGTGTCTGGGGACCCATTAATATGTTTGAGAAAGACCTGTAAACTTTTCTAGACCTCTGAAATTCTTCCACTGAATATCATACCAATACAGTGTTATCTTAGAAAAAAATCTTTTTTCCCTTGTAACATTTACAGGAGTGAAACCGATATAAAATAAGGAAAAAGATAATCACAATATATGTGCTTCATATGAGTAAGGCTATCCTTAGTGATCCTCTGGTCTTAAGCAGAGTGTCCCACAGAGCCACAAGATTAAAACTGTGTCTCCATTGGGAAACCTTTGCTTTCAGTGAGCCTGGGCTGTCAACTAGAGGAGATGCCCTCTCCTCCATGGCAATAAATAACAAGAGGCTGATGACCAACACTGGATTCCCAAACAGGAAAATTGAAAGCAGGGTTAACATTTCCGATGAAAATCCCCATAGTCTACAAAAGCCCACATTTAATCCTGCTGATGTACTAACTCTGAGGAATTTATCTTGAGGGCCCAGGAAAGCAGTATCATTCATCTAAGTCTGACACACACCAGACTGTTCTTTATGGGTCTTCTGGTTCTGCTTTGTCACCACAGTTACCATAGTTGAAGGCTCATGGGGATAAAGTTCTGTACCAAGTGTTTTACATTAATATCCTTCGTCTTAAACTCCCACAACTCTCTGAGGCAGGCAGTGCCATCTCCTCTTCTATAAGGGAGGGAAGAGATTAAGTCCTAGGAAACTGAAATACTTCATGCATATAACACAGCTAGTAGGTTATAGAATTTAAGATTAAAAATAATTTTAAAGTTTCCTAGTAAAGCTTATGCTTATTGTACACTATGGCCTGGTTTATAGTATTTGGATTATAAATGTATATTAACTTTACAAATTAATAGCTTCACTTGATAATTCTATGCATACATATATCATGCTTCAATTGTGTTTACTCTTCCCTCTACTGTTTCTTACCCTCCCATTTCCTTTTCACTTTGGTCTTCTCCCCTCCCCCAGTAGTCTTCATTCTATGTGTAGGCATCAGAAACAGAGAGCAAAGAATACATGTACATTTATTATTCAGCTTCCTTTTTCCACTCTTACACAATCTCATACCCAAACCAAGGGAATGGTGCTGCCCATAGTGGGCTAGGTCTTCCGACATCACCTAATGTAACCAAGACAGCCCCCCCCACCGCCCCGCAACACAAACATCCACAGACCAGCCTGGTCTAAACAGTCTCTCCCTCCAGCAGACACACCCACAGATCAACCTGGTCTAGACAGTCCCCCCTCCCCCCAAGCAGACACATCCACAGATCAACCTGGCCTAGACAGTCTTCCCAGCAGACACGCTCACAGATCAACCTGGCCTAGACAGTCCCTCATTGAGACCCTCTTCTCAGGTGACTCTGGAGTGTATCAAGTTTAAAAATGGATGAAGAAATAGAAACTTTCAGTCTTCAGACAGACAAACTCGCATTTGTCCCGATTACACAGATGCCCTTTGCGCAATCCCGCTCCCCTCCGCTATTCAACATTCACATCAGTTTTCTTTGTAGCTTTCCACGTGAATGAGAACAAGTAGCCATCTTTCTGTGGCTGGCACATTTCACTCATGACAATGTCCTGTAATTGCATGTATTTTGCGTTAAATAACAGCATTTCATTATGTTTTGTGGTATTTATATATGTATATATTTATGTGGGTGTATGTTTGAATTTATTCATCTATTGATGGCAACCTAGATTGATTTCATATTTTAACTATTACAAGTGGTGCTATGATAAACATGGATTTTCTTTTTTTTAAAATATTTATTTATTTATTATGTATACAATATTCTGTCTGCATGTATGCCTGCAGGCCAGAAGAGGGTACCAGACCTCATTACAGATGGTTGTGAGTCAACATGTGGTTGCTGGGAATTGAACTCAGGACCTTTGGAAGAGCAGGCAATGCTCTTAACTGCTGAGCCATCTCTCCAGCCCTAGATTTTCTTTTATATGTTAATTTAACTTCTTTTCCACATGTAGTAAAAAATAGGTTAGCTGAATCATGGGTAGACCTACTTTGAGTTTTTTTCAGGAACTCCTGTACTGGTCCTCATAATGTGAGTTTTAGGAACTGACATATGTTCACTGGAGTGTTGGGAGTGGGAATCCTTTACTCTTTTACCTACCATTTATCCAGGGATCTTATTGGTAAAAACTGATCCCCGGTAGGCTTGTCTTTAAATCTGGTGCACATGGCTTTAATCCTTTCCATTCCAGAAGCTGGTTTTCTGTTAGCATCCTAAAGTTGTTGCCCCTGGGATCTGATTTTACTCTGCTTGCTAGCTTATTGTGTACAGACTCACTGACAGAAAATAGAGAACTGAGTCAGAGACGAGAGGCCAACAGTTTGCGAAAGCAGATGACCTGAACTTCAGGATGTCTGTGCTGCCGGTCCTCTACCCATCGACTGAGTGTCCTGTTGTTTTAATCTTTACTCTCTGGTGGACCCACTACTCAGCCCCCAAACAAATCATACGGAGTCTTATTCTTACTTGTGAATGCCTGGCCTTCACTTGGCTTGTTTCTTGCCAGCTTTTCTTAAATTATCCTGTCTATCTTTTGCACCTGTCTCTACTCTATATACATCTCTTTACTTCTTACTCCATGACTTGCTGTGTAGCTGGCCCCTAATGTCCTCCTCTCCTCCTTTTCTCATTCCTTCATTTTCTCTCAGATTTCTCTTCCCATTTATTCCTTCTGCCTGCCAGCCCCATCTATCCTTTCTTTGTCCAGCTATTGGCTGTTCAGCTTTTTATTAGACCAATCAGGTGTTTTAGGCAGGCAAAGTAACACAGCTTCACAGTTAAACAAATGTAACATAAAAGAATGCTTTGCATCATTAACCAAATCTTCCATAGCATAAACAAATGTAACACATCTATTATTTCACAACAGTCGATGGCTTGAAGGGTCTAGATAGATTCTGTGTACACAGTGGGCTTGTGTTGTGACTTAAGGAACACAGAACCAAGGGCATTTTGAGAAAGCAAGAATAAAAATAGTCTCCCCCCCACCAATCTCACAAACAGAAAATGATCATGTAGGTGGTAGTTAGACTATATATTACTTAACCTTCTCAATTGCCTGTATGAAGAACTACCAGGGATTTCTCTACATAGTTTTAGTCAGTGAGATTGTACGAGGACCCTCATGGTGCAGGTTGGTCTTCCTCTTCCAATAGTAATGAGGTGAGATTGTTACAGGCACTTTCAGCCTGTGCACAAGGCTGATCCCTAATGCAGCAACTGGATCAAAACATCAATCAGGAATGCTGTGCAGATGAAGATACACATGAGGCACATCAGGCAGATCCATGGGGATATAAGGCAACATGTTCTCTTCATTGTAATCTTTATTATGGTTTAGAGGGACTACAGTTCCTCCTTTACATAGTAGCATCACGCTAGAGCTCTGAACATCACTGGATGATACTGCTTGCTTTATTCATTAGTTTTTATATATTGATATCTTAGTTACTATTCTGCTGCTGTGAAGAGACAGCTTAACCAAGTCATCTTTTAAACTACCGAATTTAATTGGGGACTTGCTTACAGTTTCAGAGAGTTTGCCCATCATCATCATCATCATCATCATCATCATCATCATCATCATCATCA